GGGACAGAGGGTTATTTTATGTAAGCTATGTATATCTCTCCTTTCTGTATGGTAAGGTACTCAGCCTTGTGAACTTCCGCCTGCAGCCTGAAATAGAGGGCTGAAGCAGAGGGAGAGCTCTTCACAGAGAACGAGGCTGTAGTTACACAATTTAAATTCCTGTCTCCAAAAGCAACTCATGGAAAGCTACGCTCACACCCCAGTTTCCATTTGTATGCATGAATTTATTGCCTCGCTTGATGTTTTCTACCTTATAAATTACAAAAACCACTGATTCAATAAATATTAGTATGATGAATACTGCCTTGGCAACTCAGCGCTTGACATAAAACAATTACGAACAGATTACATAAGCATCCCACAGTGGGGGATCTTTGCTGTCAATAAAAGTATTATTGTTGCAGCAAACATAATGAATTGTTTGGAATTCAAAAGAAAGTTGTGTGTGTGTGTGTTTGCACACATAGACATACACATACACATGCATACAAAACTGGTTGAGCAGGGAACAGGCCTGGCAGTTGTCTGTGATGTAGTTATTTCTTTTGGAAAACAGTTATCCATTTTCTTTCTTTTTTACTGATTTTAATGCAGAATCGTGTTCTCAAATTCTGTAAATTATATTTGGGGATGGGGGGTGAGTTCAGTTCAGTTCAAATTTTAATGCAAACCTTCCTAATTTGCACTTTGCAACCCAAAATAAAGCTTTCCTTTGGAAGCGACACTTCTCCGAATTTTGGGATGCAGTTTCTCCAACTGAACAATGTATTCAAAAAAATGTGTCTGTTATGGAAAATTCTGCATAAGATGCATGTTTGTGGGAAAACAATGAATTATGCATTATATAGGGAAATTGCTTGCAAAAGTGGATATGTAAGGCAAAAATCCTTGCAAAAATGTGTACATTGGATATGATTGCTCTAAAACGCTGATGAATTTTCAAGAGAACTTTTTTTTTTTGAGGGGGTGGTTACAATGTAATGATACAGATAAAATGTAGTGTTAAAAATGCTGTGGGAAGGGGGTAAATAGGATTTATTTATTTATTGCCTTTGTAAACATAGAACCTTGGAGAAAAGCTGGAGTGGATCTCATGTGCTTCTGGTTGACCAACTCAGAGATTTACTGTATTTTTCGCTCCATAGGGCGCACCGGACCATACGGTGCACCTAGTTTTTAGGGGGGGGAGAATCAAGAAAAAAAAAATTATTTCCTCCCCACCCCAAAGAGTAAAGAAGCCAAGACAGTGAGTGGGATCCATCCTGCTGGCTGTCTTGGCTTCCTCTTTAGCCGCGCGCAACCTCTCCAGCCGGGAGAGGCTGTGCGCGGCTTTGGCAGAAGCCAAGACAGCCAGCGGGATGGATCCCGCTGGCTGTTTTGGCTTCGTTTTTAGCCACGCGGCTGGGGCGGGGGAAGCCCAAGCTTCCCCCGACCCCAGCCCCCAGAACAGGGATAGCCGCCTGAAGCCTTTGGAGCGCAGCGGGACATCGCACTGCGCTCCAAAGACTTTGGGTTCCTTTCGCTCCCGGCTTCAGCAAAAGGAACCCGAAGCCTTTGGAGCGCAGCACAAGGTCCCACTGCGCTCCAAAGGCTTCAGGCAGCTCTCCAGGCTTCAGCGAAAGCGACGAGTAGCCTCCGGAGCGCAGAGGGAGTGCTCCCTCTGTGCTTTGGAGGCTTCGTGTTGCTATCGCTGAAGCCAAGGACCCTGCATTCGCTCCATAGGACGCACACACATTTCCCCTTAATTTTGGGAGGGGGAAAACTGCGTCCTATAGAGCAAAAAATACGGTAACTCCTACAGGCTCTGAGAAAGAGGTTAACTGCCCCCCACCCCAACTCCATATGCAGGAACACTTCCTGAGATGTGGCAATTCTGTCTCCACTTCCCCTTTCCAACTGGAATTATGGCTGCAATCCTTGGCCCACTTACCAGGGAGCAAGCCCCACTGAACGCATTGGTGTACTCGGAGCGGAGTAGACATGTATAGGTTTTGTGTCATGTTACATTTCATTGAGTATGCAGAGTGCCTCAAGTGTAACTGCTGCATCTTATTGTCTTTTGCATAAAGCCCCAATTAGTGCGAAAGAGCTGTATGAATAAAATTATTTGTATTATGCTTGCAATTCGTTTGGGGGAGGGAATGTCGGTTTTAAAGAAATGAAAAGTTAATGCGGCTGATTTCTTGCACTGCTTAAGGTCCTCCCTTGTCCATTATGGACTGTTTTTGATGCAGACAAAATTCCAGCTTCCATGATTGTATCAATGTGATCTTTTGGCCTGTGGAGAATTGATTAAAATACATGCCCAGCATTTACTTTCAGCACTTTCTCAAGCCCAGGGTACAGTTTGGGGCTGGGGGGGCGGGGGCGCTGAATCAATTTGTAGTAAGTTAAAATATGCATTGAGTCCCATGCCCTTTGAAGCAGGAAATCGGTAATATAATTTCAAATAAATTTACTGAAAGATCATAGCAGCGGTTTGAAGGGGGTGGTTATAGTATGAACTCGGCAAACGGAAAGCATTTATTTCCCCGCCTCCAAATTACTTAGCCAAAAAGCTTTCTTTTGTCTTTACTGCTATTTCAGTCTGAAATGAAACATTTTTTCTCTGTTTCCACTGTGCTGTTCCCTGCAGTGAGGGAACTGTCCAACCATGGCAGGTGGGCTAATAACCGTGACATCAATAATATTAGGCTCATCAAGCACGGGCAGTAAAACATGAGGATGTGGCATGAGCCAAATGCAAAGAGTTGGAAATAACTATTGTTTAAAAAAACCTGTTCTGCTTGTAATTGCCTTTTTAAACAGCAGGGAAAGCCCCTCCTCAAAGCTCTCCTTAGCAAACCATTGAAACCAGGCAGAGCGTTGTTAATGTGTTTCAGTAGCAAGGGGAGTTAAGGCAATTTGATGCAGTTGTACAATGGCCACACACATCGCCCAAAAAGGAGAGCCAAAGAGAACCTAGATTTTGCATAAAATTCGCATATGCTCATTTGTTTGTGTCGTGCAAATTTAGAAACAGTTGTTGTAATTTAAATAGAAATGCAAACTATCTGATCGTAGTGGGGAAGACTCTGATCAGGTAATCTGCATGCCTGTTTAGTCTGTTCTCCAGGTGCCAACCGTTGACAACACACTTCAAGGTCCCTGCTCTCTCTTCTTATGTTTTTTAATCTTCAAACTATATTTGGACCAGGCAGCCCTGTAAAGAGAGGGCAGCCCTCCTGACACACAGCCACTCTGCAGAGTTGCCAGAAAGACCTGTGCAGTGAGGACAGCTTGGGCGTCTGGGCACAAATCTGCTTCTCTTTCGGTTGGGAGCATGGTGTGGAGACTGACTCCTGCATTCCCTGGGTTTGGGCCTGGAAATAAACACGACAGTATGTTACTCCCAGGAAAATGAATTTAGGATTGCATTTATAGCTTACCTCAAAGGAGAGGTGAACATTGTTGTTGTGTAGTCGTTTAGTCGTGTCTGACTCTTCGTGACCCCATGGACCAGAGCACGCCAGGCACTCCTGTCTTCCACTGCCTCCCGCAGTTTGGTCAAACTCATGCTGGTAGCTTCGAGAACACTGTCCAACCATCTCATCCTCTGTCGTCCCCTTCTCCTTGTGCCCTCCATCTTTCCCAACATCAGGGTCTTTTCCAGGGAGTCTTCTCTTCTCATGAGTATTGGAGCCTCAGCTTCAGGATCTGTCCTTCCAGTGAGCACTCAGGGCTGATTTCCTTCAGAATGGATAGGTTTTCAAATTCTTCTTTGGCTCAGATTGCAGAAGGGGTCTTCTGTCCTTCAGCCCTGCTTTGAAGGTCTGCCTCTAGGAAAACATGGGCCAGGGCCCCCCAGAAAAATTCCAGGCGGGATGAGCAGTTTTTCAAAACTGTGTCCTCACAAAATAATGGAGATATGTTTCACCTTGACTTTCCTAGTGGAGAGCTCTGAAGAGCAAATATGCATTGGTTCAGCAATTAATTGCTTGGGTGAGAAGCAGTCTGTTTCACTTCCGATATAATGTGAGTTGTGAGCAGTTCCTTTGTCTCTAAATGCTGGGGACAGCTGGTTTGAAACCTACCCTCCTTCCTCAGGCTACCATGCCCAAGTGGCAGAAGAAAGGAAAGGGCATGGAGCAGTGGGCCAGTCCTCCCCACTGTTCACCCTTCTCTACCCACACCCAACTAACTCATCAACCTCCTATCCTCCTCTTGAGGAGCTCAGGACCTGGTTCTACACAGGGTTTAGTCCCTAGCAGTTTTAACATGCAAACTTGGGAGTTCTTGCCTTGGCTTGACACAGGGGTGAGGAACCTCAGGTCCAGGGCCTGAATGCAGCCCTCCAAGCCTCTCTGTCTGACCCTTAGTCTCTCATAAGAACACATCAATTCCCCAGACAAAATGGCCCTGCTTCCACCCTCCTTAAGAGATTTTTGTCTGACAAGAAGATGTCCTTCACCACCTCTGGCCTCTTCTACAAAGGTAATATTTACATTTAGTGCTCCGCCTCCTTTTTTCTCTGGCCCAACCCCACAACTGGCAAATGTGTGTTTTTCTTTTTGTGAATCTGGATTAAGAGATTTTCTCAGGGCGGTGGAGGGTGTGTGTGTTTTGTCCCATTGGAGTAGCCCTTCTTCCGATAGGAAATGCTCTGCGGAGGGGACAACACAAAAATGGAAGGGTCCGGGAGGGTCAGTTGCGGGGGAGTGAGAACTGTGCCTATTTTCTCTGGGATTTCTCTGTTTTCTTCTGATGAATGCTGGAGGGTATGTATTAGTGAGCAGGTTAGCCTGGGGTGTCTGACAAAGGGCAGTGAAGCCAGAGGAAAGGGCAGGGACTAATTAAGGAGCGGAATCCACCATCTTCACGAGGGGTGTGTGTGTGTTGCTGCATAAAAATCAGTGCTGCTGACAGGAAGGGGAGGTTCACGAAGGGGTTGTGACCAATCCCAGAGGAAAGCATGGAGTAAGGCCAAGAGCCAAGTAAAGATGCTTTGGCCAAATGAGGCCATGAGTTTCCCAGAGAGCTGCCGTAGCTCAAAGGTCTGTAGTTTGAATTTGCCTGAGTCTGATGACCCTGTCAAAGTGCAATGGAAATTATTGTAAAAATTGCACAGTTAATTAAATGCAATCTTGTTCCTTCACCCTTTGCTGCCCCGAGGTGCCACTTTTAATGAGCATATTTGACGCTGATTTTTCTGTTCTCACTGGGGGCCGTATGTGTCTGTCTGTGTGTTCTGCTTATGAAATGAGCATGCTGGAAAAAGGGGGGGGAATAAACCCATTTAGGATTATTTCCACCAGGACAAACAACAGCAACTGAAAGGGCAGCGCTACAAAAGCCCAGCTGTTCGGAGTCAGGCCTCTGAGATTTGCGAAGAGTTAAGTGAGTTGCAAACGGACAAACAGTCAAAGGACGAGCCTCCGGTCCCGCCAGTAGGGGAACAAGAGGTAACCGTTTGCCGCCTGCTTTCTGCATGCTGTCCGTTGCTGGAACTCTGTAGTGCATGCAGTAGAAATTGGCGAGGGTTGCATGGGGCATGGGGGAGGGGGGGTCATTTCCTTTATAAATGAGCCTAGCCAGTGCCAAAGAAAAACAACGCAGAATGGCCACTATAGCTGTGGTAAGTATGGAGAGAATTAAAAGCAGAGAATTCATGCAATGTCCAAGAATGGAATTCCAGAATGCACCATTTGAAAAAACAAAAAAAGCTGGTTACAATTGCCAAGTTTCAGGCTCAGGCTATGAGCTGGGTTCTCTGCTATAGCCTGAAATCATGTCTATCATTTGGAGGAAAAGCTGGTCATATAGCAGTTTCCATCCTAAGCATAAATATTTGGAGGAAAAGCTGGTCATATGGCAGTTTCCGTCCTAAGCATAAATTCAGTTGCACATAGCATACATTCACAAATGCAACAATCATACAGAGCACGGGGGAGGAAGTTGCATAACTGGAGGTGCCTGAAGTTTCTCCTGGGGGTGGAACCACACATACGAGTTAACTGAGGCAGCAAGCTGTTTTTCTGCTTAAAAAGTACCTTGCCTGCTCAGCCTGTTGTAGAAACATTAAATATATCCCCGGCTGCATACAGAGCACATGCATATAACTTTGTTGAATTGCAGACCACGTTTTTACAAAGTTGAATATTTAGTAGCTAGGGGGATGGTTTTGCCCCATACAGCATGAGAATCGATGCACACTGACTAAATGAACAAGAAACTCATTGCCTGGGACCCAGGTGCACTCTATACGAAACAAAGTGGGAAAAAGGAAAACGGCGTGCTTCCATTTCAAGTCGAACTTTCTGAATGGCCTGGTCGTAGGAAGCAGCAACAGCAGCAAGCTTGCTTTCCTCCACCACCTTTAAATGTGCGCAGAACACAAATGCCATCTCCAAAGAGCACAATTAGTTTCTATTTTGTGACTGTTTAAGAGGGAGATCAAAGAGCATGGCACCTGTCCATGGGACAGTGAAAAATGAGGCAGAAGTTCATGTGAGGTGACATACACCAGCAAGAACGCCCAGATGATGCTATTTTTGAAGACTTAGCTCCGTGTGGGACGGCACATACAACTGGACCCACAATTTCATGTCCAAGCCCTGGGAAGCAGGCAATGGCTAAACTGTCTGGTGGCTCATATGGCAACCAGCTCAAGCGCATGGGGCAACCCAGGAAGTACGCCAACAGCTTTGTCAAGCCGCCAAGAGCAGAGTTGGAGGCAATGCAGAAATCACAAGCAGAATTCACAAGGAGAATCTCATGCACTGGAGTAAGGCCAAGCGAAAAGCTCCGATTTCTGAACTTTTGGCTACAAATTGAGGAACAGGGGTGAAACTGAGGCCTAAATAGAGGAGGGACACGTCCAAATCAGCGATCAGCGCCATCAGCTTCTTGATATTTTCCGTACCACAAAAGTGTTTCACTGCCCCAGCCCCCACCTCTGTTTATATGGATGACTCTAAAATGGCTCTTAGATCGCTTGCAATGCACTGTTGCTGTTGCTTTTTAATTGTGCTGCTTCGTTTCTGGTTCCTCTCTCATCCCTCCTGCGGCTGGGCTGCTGAGTTTTGCAGATATTATAATCTTTCCTTTTGTCACTGTCAGGTTATCAGGCTGGGGCTTATGCATGCTGATGCAACAACCAATGTATTTCCTCTGTTCACCTGCTCGGCTAATCTAATGTTTTCTTTTTGGAGTCTCTTTAAGGGACTTAAAGCTGAACCATATGAGAAGGGGGTGGGGGGGTCCTTGGTGCCTTTCCCCTCTCATTTTGAAGCCTGGCTGAGCTGATTTAAAGATCAGAGACACAGTGCTATTAGAGATGGTGCTTAACTCCAGTGAGGCGCCCCTCAATGGGCTGGTGTGTTAATTTGGGGGTTGTTGTGGGGATGTTTTCTCTGATAAGATTGGGGTGGGGGCAGGAGGGATCTGAACTGAAGGAGGGGTTTGAGCACCCTCTCCCAGAGCACCAAATCACCGTCTTCAAAGCAGGCCCTCGTTATCAAAGCAAATCCTGCACTGCCTGCCTTGTGTCGAGTTTACCGTATTTTTCGCTCCATAAGAGACACTTTTTCCCTCTTAAAATCTAAGGGGAAATGTCTGTGCATCTTATGGAGCGAATGTGTGGTCCCTGGGGCTGGGGGTGGGGGAAACCCGGGCTTCCCCCGCCAGTCCTGACTAGCTCCTGAGCAGCTCTGGGGTAGCCTGCGAAGCCTCCACAAGGCAGCAGGGAGCCTTCATCCCGCTGCCCTGGGGAGGCTTCGCGCGGCTATCCCTGGCTTTTGCAGGAGGTGGGGGAAGGGACAGAGCAAGGCTCTCTCACTTCCCCCACCTCCTGCAAAGGCCCCCAAGAGCAGCATTTTTTTTTCTTGAATCCCCCCCCAAAAAAAGTAGGTGCGCCTTATGGTCAGGTGCGCCTTATGGAGCAAAAAATACGGTACTCCTTCTTTTCAAAGTGTGGTATGGTAGTTCCAACTCCCCCTGCCTTCTTTTCAAGCATTTTAAGAAGAGTTTGGATTTGATATCCCGCTTTATCACTACCCGAAGGAGTCTCAAAGCGGCTAACATTCTCCTTTCCCTTCCTCCCCCACAACAAACACTCTGTGAGATGAGTGGGGCTGAGAGACTTCAGAGAAGTGTGACTAGCCCAAGGTCACCCAGCAGCTGCATGTGGAGGAGCGGGGAAGCGAACCCGGTTCCCCAGATTACGAGTCCACCTCTCTTAACCACTACACCACACTGGCTAATAGGAGAAGACAGACAAACAAGCATCCTGGGATGTTTTATCAAAAAGTAATCAGTTTCTAAGGGCATCACGCAGCTTCTAGGGGCTTTTGGATTAGGACCTCAGTACTGCAGGGGGTTAACTACCCCCCACCACCACCACCATTCCACCCAGAGCTATTATTTCCCTACTAAGGAAAACTTAGGTCACACCATAGATTCAAAAGCACATTGCTTTCCCGCAAAGAATCCTGGGAGTTGTAGTTTGCAGTCTCTCAGAGCTACAGCACCCATAACAAACTGCAGCTCTCCCATGATTCTTTGGGGGAAGACATATGCTTTAAACGTTATTTTTAATGTATGCAGCCTCTGTTACTTTTTGTCTAGTTTGGGCTATAGTCATCCGTATAACTAGGTTTACCAAAGCCTTAGAAAAGGGTCCATCTTGGTCTCCCTTCATAATCCATCTTTGAAACAGGATCTCAGTTCCTGAAAATGGCCCCATCTTTTATGTTCCCAGGAAGTCTGCAGCAGCCCAATAATCAGCTGCTCAGATGTTTTCATTTCCATTGCAGAAGGGTGGTTTTTTTTAGGAGCATTCTTCACGTAAATCTCCAGAGAGCAGTTATTTCTGCCCTTAATCTCTTCTTCTGAAGGTAGTGCTTTCTCTCTGTCTGGTGGATTCATTTGAATTGGGGCGGGGGAAGGGGCGGGAGAGAAGCGGGAGGCTGCAATTAGCCACAAGGTAAAGATCATCTCTTCTCTCAGACATTGCTGAAGAGGCAGATTTGTCCATATGGAGGCAGTTCCAGATTGCTCTTTGAAAGTGAGGTGGTTGATATTTCTTCCTTTTTTATCCTGGAATATCAACCACACAAGCAACAACAAACCCAACACCCTTTGTGCTTTGGCAGCACAGGAGCTCATGAAAATGTTTAAAGACCGAGGACGCAATAAGATCTGAACCACCAAGTGATATTTATCCGTGGGAGCAGTAAACATTTTCTGCCTCTACTTGCTGAGGAACCTATGAGCACGTATTCCAGGAATCTTGCCTTCTGCAAAGGATTCTGGGCCGTATTCTAGAATGTGCTTTCAGATGGTGGAAGGCTCTGGCCAAGCTGGTAGGCCTTACTGTCACCATAGATGAACTGGGTGTGTGTCAGAAAAGACATGCCTGAAATATGCTGACCCAGTTCTACCAAGGACTGCCAGTGGGGAAAGGTGTGGCTGGATGCTCCTAACTGAACCAAGAAAACTAGATGTTAGGAAGAAGCATTCTAGACTTCTCCCGGACATGCTGTTTTCCTCTGTATTTGAACCTTCCCCCCCCCCCACCCCATGGAGGACCAATTAAGGATTGGTGGGTAAATTTATTCAATTCTTGGAAGAAGGTTATGAACCTGCACCCATGACATGTTATAAGTGGGATAGGGAGGTAAGCCACATGGCACGTTAGTTTTAAATTTCTGCATTTCTATTGGGAAGGGCTATATATTAATAAAAGCTATTTTTTAAACAAAAAGTATTCAGTTCTCATTTTAACAAACTCTTACTTAATTTGCATTTTTCTGAACCTATATGCAAACAGAAACACAGATCTCCTTTGAAATTGGCACTTATCTTAATCTTTCCAATTGCTAAGCAAAAACGTCGCCTTTATTAGAAAATGCTGCTGTGCAGTTGTTTCATTTTTACATATTCTGTTCATTTGTCGTATGCTGCATCCCTTTTGCAATGGTCACTGTGTTGTATGAAAATGCATGAGCAAATCCTTTCTTCCTTTCATCCTCTCTCCAGCTGGCTGAATCATCCATCGCTGGCTCCTTCTTTAAAGCACAGCCACTTCCGTTAAGAGGAGACTGATGAATGTTCTTCCTCTCCTCACCTTTGCCCCTGTTTCTCCCCTAGAAGTTTGATGAAATCAGTCTGTCGGAAGGAAGCACAGTGGACCTGGCAATCCCGCCAGAGCTTCTGGAGCAGATGCCTGAGCTGGCAGAAGAGATGATGGAACCAGAAGACTGTTTCCCAGAACGTAAGGATGGGCTCCTTTCATTTCTTTTCCTGACTTTAAGCTAGAAACGCATGATCAGAACTGCCACAGCTTTCCTGGGCTATTCCACTTCAGGTTGAAGCTGGAGAATCACAGAAAAGAGGGCAGGAACTTGCTATCTGCTGCTGCCCCAGAGGGCAGGAATAGATCTAAACTTGCAGGAAGCAGATCTAAACTTGCAGATCTAAGCTTGTTGGTTGAACATTACATGAAAACTGATGATGGCGAGAGTAGTTTAATTATGGAACCAGTTACCTGGAAGAAGGAACCTGGGAGAAGTTTGATTCCATTCACACTGAAAGATGAACTTAGCTAATTTGTGCTTTCCCAAGCACAAATTGAAACAAACAATCTCACATTAATGAAACCACCACCAAAGCACAGATCACACCTGTCTCCATTGACTAATCCACAGAAATCAAGGGTCCTGCAATCTCCAGCACCGCCATGGTGCAAAAAACATGTGTCCAAGGCACAGATCCTTCAGGGGTCCCAGAGGCCCTTGGGATCCAGGAGGGTTGATGACCCCAAACTAGGGGAAGGGAGAAGCTGTTGTGAGGCTGTCTCCTCCACCCACTGGTCCTCTGAATCATATATATATATATATATATTTGTAGCTGCCCCAGTTCCACCCATGCTTCTCACCATTGGATTTCACCGAGCCAACGCACGGGTGTTTCCTGTAACCTTGAGCTGATTGCATCAGTCAAGATGCCTTTTTCACTCTTAAGATGAAAACATGCCTGTGTTTGGTAAACACTCAACTCCACCTGCCACTGAAAAGACAGGGATGCAATGTAGATTTTTGCTGTCTAATTCTCCAGTTAACAAATGCAATCACTTGACAGCCTTGAGTCTCTGTTGCAACTGATTGTTCCATGAGGTTCTTCCTGATGTGTTGGAAGGTGGGGAGGGAGGGAAGAGTGGGAGACTAAGGTGAGCTAAACTGTCATATATCCACGAGTGTGCATATCCCAGAGGATTATTTAATTCAGAAACAAGCCTGCTTAGTGGGGATCAGATGGGGATAACTTGCAAGAAATGCAGGAGCCCCTGCAGTCAGCAGAACGGCATTTTGGCATGTGAAAGATGATCAAATGAGGTAGCAGAAGCCCTGCAAGGGAAGGGGATGTCTGTAGTTCCCAGGGATTTTCTTGGCAGCTTTTCTTAGATATAACAGCTTAACATGAATTCACTTGTCAGAAAAGGGTGTGGTATGATGATGCAGGCATTCCAGTGTAGGCAATTCTTCAGTTGTTTGTTTCTAGATGTCTCCTGTTTTCAGTACAGTCATACCTCGGGATGAATACGCTTTGGGTTAGGCAAATTCAGGTTGCGCTCCGCAGCGACCCGGAAGTAACGGAGCGTGTTACTTCCGGGTTTCGACGCACGCGCATGCGCAGACTGTCAAAATGGCGTCATGCGCAGAAGCGCCGAAACGCGGCACGCGCAGACACGCCGTCGTGTCTTGCGTTCCATTTGGGATGTGAACAGGGCTCCGGAACGGATCCTGTTCGCATCCCGAGGTACCACTGTACTTTTTATTAGTATAGCGTAATGCACAAAATAAATAGTCCAGTAAGACAATGACTTAAGCATTCCACCCTCTTCTCGGCTCCAGATCCATTTCAATCCAGCTTTGGCTCTGATTTTGGGAAGGGAACGGCCTCTGTAGATGACCTGTGCCAGAAACTGGACAGGGGGAATACTTTTCTGTTGGTTGTGCTGGACCTCTCAGCCCCATGCCACTGAACAAGGCACACTTCTAGACCAGTTTCGTTCTAGACCTTTCTGGATGGCTTGTTCCAGATGGTGGTACTCAGGGCTCCAGCACCTCTCTGGCAGGCGCCATTGCCATTATAAAAGAACAAGGGAGACGTTCATGGTGAGCTCCAGCATGTGGATTCCTATTCCTTACCTTAACAGTTGGCCCCTACCTTGTTCCCCATGCTTAATATTTAGATGTAACCACTAGTGGAGGTGATTTGGGGTTTGGCGTCACCAGTTTGCAGATGACACCCAACTCTATCCCAGCTGTCCATCTCTTTTAAGTGAGACTGCAGAAATCCAGAACCAGCGGACTGGATGTGAGAAAACAAACAGGACCTTAATCCAGACCAGACAGAGGTGCTCTTGGTCAGTACATCAGAAGAGGGGTAGCTCTTCCCTTGAAAATGCAGGCACATGGCTTGGACCTGGCTTTGAATTTCGGTGCTTTGCCCAGCTGGGGCTGGTGTGCAAAACACTGCCATTTCTGGAGACTGCAGTTCTGGCCTCAGTGAAACATCTTTAGTTACATCACATCTAATGTAGCCCGCTCTGGATTTTGTGGCTGACTTTGAAGAGTACTCAGAAGCTGCAATTGGTCCAAAGTGCTCTGGCCAGGTTGTTAACTGGGGCCGCATGTGGGGAGGACACAACACACACACACCCTTGAAGCAGCTGTATTTCAACTTGTTTCTGTGGGTAATTCTGATGAGTATTAAAGCCAGGCTATTGTGGCTCTGGCCACAGTTAGCAAATGGATAATCAACTCCTTACAATAATTCCTAAACATTCTCTTCCTAGATATTTAGAAGAGCCAGTTGTGGGGTGGGTATTATGTTACAATTTGTGTTAATCTCCTTAAACGGAGATCCAGGACTTTTATTCTTTTCCACAATCCCACCAGAGATGTCTATAAGTTCCTACCAGCTGGTATCCCCTCCAACGGTATGGTGATAGTGTAGAATTTATACAGGATAACCTTTGTGGTGTTAAGCACTACCTATGAACCATTTTAAATTCCATTTCTTAGTCTCTAACTGAGATTTACCTAAATGGGGATTTGTTCCATCCTGTCTGCCATTTCTGTCCCTTCAGTTTCAAACTCAAATCCTGCCTTTTGTACCATTCACTTCTAATAGCAATAAGCAATGGTATAGTCTTGAAATTAAACCCATAGCATTACTATTACAGCATTTCACCAACCCTTCAAACGCTGATAGTATATGTGTTGCCTCTTCTCTTTCCACCTTTGGTGGATCTGCCTCCACAGAAGCCATGGTACTTGTGTTTCTTCCAGTTTATCCCCCCATGTTAAAAATCATGCAAATAATAGATTCCCTTAGCCCTCCACCCACAGTGTGGTTTATGTAATAAAAGAGTAGATGGAAAGGCAGTGGAATTAAAGGGGGTGAGACTAGAGCAAGTATAGCCACCTTCTAAGTCAACAGCAAAACACTGTCTGGGAAAAAGAGTGTGATATATGTGGGCTATTTTGGAATTATTGCTATTTTTAAAAAACCGGCTACATATGGGCAGACTACGTGATAAGCATCACGTCTCCTTTGGCCCTCTGCTCAAGGCTTAGAATATTTCTATTAAATGTACAATAAGTTGGCCATTTCTAGCCTTTAATTCATTTGCAGATGTTTTTCTCTGATTGAGCTTTCCTGAGCTGTGACAACCTGGAATTATCTTCCACTTGTAGCAGCAGTAAAAGCCTGCTGTTCTAGTATACACTACGCTCAGCTTGCATGCATGTACACACACGGAGAGAGATTTTATTGTGATTTAAGTTAGGATTTTTGAATGAAAGCCTAGAGCTGGGTGGGGTGGGGCAGGGGACCTGTCCACTATGAAAAGAAAATGACTGCATTCAACGGAAAGGACTTTAAATGTTCCCTATTGTGGGGGGAGGTGACAGTGTCTATGTGAATGATAAGGATCGTTTAAATGGCGTCAAAAGTATTGCCATCTCTGGAACACATTGCCCAACAGAGCTACAGGGATGCTGGCAGCGCTGTGCCTGTTGTCAATGAGTCACATCGAACATTGTAAGTTAGATGTTATTCACCATTGACAATAAGTATAGGAAGGAGGCAAAGCTGCTGCTTTAGCTCAGGGATGGGGGACCTATGGCCCTTCAGATGCCATTGGACTACAACTCCCATCACCCCTGACCGTTGGCCAAGCTGGCTGAGGCTGATTGGAGTTGGAATCTAATAACATCTGAAGGGCCACAGGTTCCCCATCCCCGACTTAGCCAGTTAAGGCCTTTTCCCACAATGCCTTTCAATTCACCATTTTCATCATAGTAGAACTATTATTTTCTGTATCTGTTTTTTGCATAACCAAAGGCTATAAATTGGGTCATAGGAACCATATATTTCAGTAAAAACCATAAAGACTAAAATAGATAATGTACATAATTAAATTTACCAAGACTATGGATTAGCATAGATTAGCCATGAGCCCATTTCTTCCAGGTTGCATCCCATTAATGGGCTTAATGTTACTAGGGGGTAGATTTTTGTTCAACACCAAGAGATAGACAGCAAGAGTGGTTTTACAATGGAAACGGTTGCCTCAAGAAGTAGAAACCCATCTACTGGGGTTGCTCTAGCTCTAGGTTTCTTTCATTGAGTTGTGGGTTGGACCAGATGGCCTACAAGACCCCTTCCATCTGTGTGAGTCTATGAAAGTCTGTAATGAAGTGGAAGATGAACAGAAAGACAGAAATGAACTTCAGTAAACTGAAGGGACTGAAGACTGCATTCATGCACAGTAGCACTCTGTACAAGATTAAGACATTTAATAATGTTGAGGTGAGTAAGGGGTGACATGGTAGAAGTGCCTAAAATTACGTATGACATGGAGATAGTGGATAGAGAAACGTTTTTATCCCTCTTTCGTTGCCCTAGAACTTATGCACATCCAGTGATGCTGAATGTTGTCAGATTCAGGGCAGATAAAAGTGGCCACATTGATAACAGGGTGTTGAACTAGGTGGACTATTGCACTAGGTGAACCATAGACCTGATCCAGGAGGCCTTTCTTTTGTTTTTAAATTGGGACGAGGGAGAGCCCTCCTAGTAGCACCTAGCATTAAACAACTCTTTCTGGTCTTCCTTTATCATTTCAGCTTGTGTCCGATTCTTCCCGTGCTGTTCAGTAGACACCACAAAATTTCCTGGCAAGATTTGGTGGAGACTGAGGAAAACGTGCTACCAAATAGTTGAACACAGCTGGTTTGAAACTTTCATCATATTTATGATTCTCCTGAGCAGTGGAGCTCTGGTAAGCTTAAAACTTGTTCTTTTCCCTTATCCCGTTAGACTTTTAAATATGTGTGGTTGTGTGTTGAGAGAAGACATGCCAGCGAAGCTTGCTTTACTTGAAGATAGGATATAAATTTCAGGCATTTATAATCCCCATCTCTAATAAGAAGCGAGCATTAATTAGACCCCTGAGTTCTTCTCTAGCTTGGGTTAAATCCAAGCCAGGGAAGAATTCCTGACATCTCTTGTTTAAAGGATCACTTGGCAGGTGATGGAAAGCATCTCTGCCCAGGATCCTAGTGCAACACTGCATATACCCCTCCACACACATCAGGGTTGCAAATTATCATATTTCTTGCAGAACAAACAGTAGATTCATGAATTCATTGTTTGTCACCATATGGCTTCATTGGTCAATTCTGACAGGGTAATAATCAGTATAAATATTCAGTGGCATGTAGTCATTTATTCACAGAGCCTTTTATTAAGGAAAAAGAATTCCCCCCAAAGACAACATCTGGAGAATGTAGCACTCTAATTCACAACTTTTTACTTCCAACTTCCAGGCATTTGAAGACATCTACCTCGACAAGAAAAAGAACATTAAAACCATGTTGGAATATGCTGACAAGATCTTCACTTACATCTTTGTTCTAGAGATGCTTCTGAAATGGGTAGCTTATGGCTTTAAGAAGTACTTCACCAATGCCTGGTGTTGGCTTGATTTCCTCATTGTAGATGTAAGTATTGTGTTTTTCTTCTGGGTTGGTTCATACAGCAATGTGGAATGAGTTCAGTTTTGAACTATGTGAACACAGTTTGAATGTGGATTAAGTTACATTTGGGTCCTATGAAGGACAGCTTAAAATGCACTTGTGGCATTAGGCTTTTTTAAAAAGTATAAAGTGAAATGATAGAATTTGCCATTCTTTTCACTGTAAAATGAAATCTATAGATGCAAGAGGTAAAGGGATCATTCAGTGGTGACATCTGAGCTGAGAGCCCTTATCTCAATTACTCCCATAGAATTCCAGACTGTGGGACAGTGATGATTTGTGATAGCAGTCCCCCTTCACCGCATTCACAAGAAACCATTCAAAGTTGATATTTCTGCCAAACTCAAAGTACGGGAATTTTAAAGGTATATGGCCACCTCATGCTTTAAGGATTCTTAGCAAGGTAAAAGACTTCCAGTTAGTAAAGAAGGGACAGTGTTGTACCAGAACTTCTGAAGAGGGCATATGGAGCAATTGTTTCAAATTTGAGGGAGCTTATTTAGGCTGGTTCTTAGGAAATGCTTCCATCCTAACCATAAACTGTTTGGGTGATAAAACTCACCAGGGCATCTCTGTGGCAGGGAAGGTTGGGGTCAAAATAAACATCTTACACAATACCATACATTCAGTGACTTCCCTCCTTCCCCTTCCGTGATCCATTTAATTTATCCGCCATTCCTGCATATTTAACTATAGCCATTTTATTCAGTTCTCCTATCTTACATCACTCAAGTGTTTATTATACTGTTGAATTTACCTTAATGCTGCCAATGTTTTCAACTGTGCACAGTTATTTTCCATATATTCAGCAAAGATTTTCCACTCCTCTTTAAATACATCTTATTCTTCTTCTTGCTCTCTTATTCTTTACGTTAGACCATCTAGTTCCACATATTCTATTATCTTAAGTTGCTAATTCTCCTTAGTTGGGACCTCCCTCACTTTCCTCTTTGGGGCTATCAAAACTCGGGCCGCAGTTGTTACATACATAAATAAGTTTTTTCTGACACCTAGGAACCTCTGTCTGAACGATTCCTAGCAAAAATGCTTCCGGTCTTTTGGGGAAGGTTGTTTTAAGCATTTTTTTCGTCTCATTATAAATCATTTCCCAATATTCTTTAACCTTTTTACGTGCCCACCACATATGAAAAAAGTTCCCTCCATTTCTTTACCTTTCCAACACAAATCTGGTTCTACTTTATACATCTTAGCCAGTCTTCTCAGGCAGAGATTTCTGCCTCAAAAGGCTTTTAATCACTCTGGGGTTTTTTAACCAAGGTTCTCCCAGTGTTTTTTTGGTTGCCTTTGTAACTCTATTTCATGTGCCCTCCCCAGAATCCCTAACCAGATTTTGACTTCAGAACCTGGAGATTCTATGGACTCTGGGCACATCTAGAGATTCCATGACAGGTTATGGGCCCAAGAGAATGGTATTGGGGGAAGAGCAGGCATCCCTTAAAAGATCTCAAGGAGCAGGTGGGTCCCCTCCCCAAAGCAAGGGCTCCTCATTTTCACTCTTAGTTTGGTTCTTCCCTTTCCCAGCTTCTCTCCTCACTGTGTTCCCAACAGTTGCTGCTCCCAGTGCTGTGGCTGTGACAAGGATGCTGAAGGAATCAGGGCACAAACGTTCCTTCCTCCCAACTGCCTGCCACTCATGTAGTTCACATGCTGCTTGCATATGTGGCCCTGGTAGCAGCAGTGTGGCATTCCTTTTCATGTTCCTTGCAAGTTCTTAGCTACCCAATCAGTCCTGCTGTCCGCACATGGCATTCTGCTTCAGCTGGCTGAGTCCCCTACATCCCATCAGGGCCCACTGCTGATGTTCGCCCGGGACCCCTTTTAAAATCAAACCCAGAAGATAAGGGCCAAGGAAGAGACAGGACGGTGCAGCAGTCGCCTATTACAAGGCATGACATTCTGCAGAAAACAGAACAGTGGAAACATTTGAGGCTGGCAGCCGCTTCTTCCTGCAGCTGCAAGCATACCCCAGCACCCCAGCACTGCCTTGGGGGGCACTTAGCTTCCTCTTTGCTCCAATCAATGCTCACAAAGTGTTAGACATTGCTCCTGCTATTAGGTAGAGGGTTGTTGAGCTATCAGAAGAATGGTGCCTTCCAATAGTGTGTGGGTCATTGGGGCTGCTGAGTTGTAAACTGTTTCTGCAGCCATCACATTACTAAATTGGGTTTCATTGGTTTTATACCGTTGCATAATTTGTCACCAACCATGAAAAGCCTGGATTTTCTACATCTCTCTTAATTCTAGAACCAGGGGCTGACCATCCAATGAAGGTGAAATGTGGGAGGTTTCAGATAGACAAAAGGAAGGACTTCTTTGCACAATGCGTTTAGTACTATGGGATTTGCCAGCACAAGCTGTGGTGAAGGCCACAAGCTTCAATGGTTTTAAAAAGGGACTAGACAGATTCCTGAAGGAATACTAGTTATGATAGTTGCATATAATTTTGCATGTCAATGGTCTAAACCACTGAGCCTCTTGGGCTTGCTGATGAGAAGGTCAGTGGTTCGAATCCCCACAACGGAGTGAGCTCCCATTGCTCTGTCCCAGCTTCTGCCAACCTAGCAGTTCAAAAGCACACCAGTGCAAGTAGATAAATAGGTACCGCTGTGGCAGGAAGGTAAACGGCATTTCCGTGCGATCTGGTTTCCATCACGGTGTTCCATTGTGTCAGATGTGGTTTAGTCATACTGGCCACATGACTTGTAAAGCTGTCTGTGGACAAATGCCAGCTCTCTCGGCCTGAAGCGAGATGAGCACCACACCCCACAGTCACCTTTGATTGGACTTAACTTTATCTTTTCACCTTTGCCTCTGGACACCAGTTGCTGAGGAGCTCTAGGGTGGACGGCGGTGACACTCATGTCTTACTAGGGGGCTGCTTCCCACAGCAGTCTGCTTGGCCATTGTGGGAACAGGATGCTTGGCTAGATAGGCCTTTGGTCTGATCTAGCAGGGCTTTTCTTATGTTCTTAGGTAGGTTTGCTTAGCAAATATTGGACAAGGCCCTTCTGTAGGTCACTCATCTCTCATTTCAGTAGGAAGGGGCTTATTTACACAATCCACAGCATTTGTAGATGCTGCAGACTAATTATGATGTCATTGTTACCTATACACACCATTTATGTACCAGGTATTCTCCAGGCTTAACTGGTCAACGTCCCCCTCCTGTGCAAATTTCTTCCATTGAGTGCTGCCCATCTATTTCCTGCTTATTTATATTCTGCTGTGTCCTTAATATCTTACGTGGTACAGATAATATTGTTCTCCTCCTTCCAGCCTCCCTATTAATATTTTAATTTACCTAAATTTGGAAACATGGGCACTCCTCCTTCTCACCTTTTGATACCGAGAACCACTTTATTTTGGACAGAGTTCCTTTTTTAGAAAAAAGAAAAAAGAAATTCTGAGCAGCATACAAGATCACACTTAGCATTTGTGGCTTTTCAAGTGTTGAGAGTAGTGCTTAGATTAAATATGAACCCTAACTCATGAGGAGACGCTTAAGGTCCATAAATAGTAACACCCTAGTGGTCCCGGGCCCTAAGGAAGTCAGATTCGCCTCAACCAGAGCCAGGGCCTTTTCAACACTGGCTCCGGCCTGGTGGAACGCTCTGCCTCATGAGACCAGGGCCCTGCAGGATCTGATTTCTTTCCGCAGGGCTTGTAAGACAGAATTGTTCCGCCTGGCCTTTGGCTTGGAATCAAATTGATCCCCTCCCCCTCTTCCTTTTTCCTTTCTCCTTTTGTGATGGAACTCCTATTTGGGGACTTCCCTGGCTTTTTTCTGGCCCACATAGAACAGTCTGGATAGTTGGCCTTGGTGAAGACTTGACGTTTTCATCCCCCCAAAAGTTTTTTATTTGAGTTCCTACTGAAATGAGGATGCATTTTAATGTTGTATTTTAATTTTGTTTTTAAGTTGTATTTCAGTCAATTGTTTTATACCAGTGTTAGCCGCCTTGAGCCCAGTCTTGGCTGGGGAGGGTGGGGTATAAATAAAATTTAATAATAATAATAATAATAATAATAATAATACTATGGAGAGGGACCAATTTGCATTGGGGCCACAGTGCAGAGGAAAGGAGGATCTAACACATTGCTTGCACCAATTCCCTGATTTCAATAGCTTCCCCTCCCCAAACCTGCAAACAGTGGTGGATGAAGCATGAAGGCTTAAATGTCTATGACCATTAAATGTTCCCCTCTGCAGCTTTTTGCCTCTCTCTTTTTCTGAAAGCTGGCAATTTGATTTGGGGCTATTGAATAGTGGCAAATAGTTAGATTCCCTTTTCCACAAGCCCAGTTAAAATTGTGGGGGCCATGTGGCTGCTTTTTGTAAAAGCAAGAAAAAAGAAAAAAGAGAGAGTTCAAATGAAGGAACTTTTCCATCATGTGCGGTTTTACCCTGAAATCTAAAAACAAGATCAGCAACTTAAAAGGGCAGGAAATCCAATTCGTTTTTAAAGCCAGTGCTTGGGGGCCATTCCTCCCCCTGCTCCCTCACCCACTACTTACCCAGCTCTGTGGCAAGTCTTTGACACTGATTTCTACATGTGGCGCAGTAAAAACCATTTCATCGTTGTGGATTATTGAAGCAGATTCTCGCTTGCTCCCATAATCCATCAACTAAAGACTATTTTTGTCCAGTAGAGAATCCCTGAAGGATGATCTCTGATAATGGGCTCCAATGTATCTCAAAGCAATGTGCCTCTTCCGCAAAAAGCAAAAGAACCAAAACTTGAAAAAGCTGCGTAAAAAAAATGCATATTATCTGAGCAGCCCATGCACCATAACCAGCAAAAGCATGTGTGAGATAAAACAAAGCAATTTCTGACAACAGGCGTTCCATCACTTTCTTCTGACCACCTTGCCCAAAGTCAGCTCTCTCGCTGAGTGCCTTTATTTCATATTCCTGGAATTGAGCTTGTAAATAGGTTGCTGAG